TAAGGCATACTTTGATCATGACAATGACAAAGCTGACAAGACTACCAGCATGAGTGTAGACATCAACTACAGCAACAACCGTGGACATCAACTACAGCAACAACCGTGGACATCAACTACAGCAACAACCTGTACAGCAGCAAGGTCAGAGTGGACTCCTTCCCCAAATTCCTGCACTCCCCCCCCTCCTCTCCCCTGTACTCGTCAAGCAAGGTCCTACAGGCCACTACAGAGGCTGTACTGATACTGTCATTACCTGAATCTGCTTGAGATGGATACTACCGACAGAAGCCGTTTGTCCTGTTGAACTTAGATGGGAGACCTACAATCATGGGGAGGACGGCTCCGAGAACATGGCATGGCAAACTGCCATGTGATTCTACCATTACAATCAATACAACTGTTCTGTCACGGTCAGTCCTTAACAGCATCTCAACCACGGTTTAACTATGGCGGGAGAGACAGGGACACAAACATGCATGTGGCAAAACGAACCTGATATCCCCAGGAAACTCTTGTGATGTCAACTGCGCTCTGTAAAGTCACATCTATTTATAGACTGTCATCACAAGCACTGACTCTTGCCAGAGAAGCTGGGCAGACAATGTGATCTAACCTCCCACTCTCAGATTCCACTGTCTCTCATGAAATAAAACACCACTTAAATTTCCTCTGCATCCAGAATGACCACTTGACTGCCAATTTTAAATGACATTTGTGACTGCTATTCCATCCTTACTCCCTAAAACACAGTTTCTGGAGCCAAATTAGTCATGGGCTATAGTCTGTTCTAGAAAAGATGGTTCCCGGCTGAGAAAATCAATAACTGCCTGGTTACAGTTGTCAGGATGACATAGAGACTGGGAATCTGTCTCAGTTTGTGATCAGCTCGTCAACAGCATCGATTATAATAAGTTGCTACAATACAAAAAATACACTTGATCACCACAGCATGAAAAAGATTAGGGTTTACTGAAGGATCCATTGATTTTCTCCCAGTGTTGCTTTAAGGACTGCATGACCCTAGGGCCTACTTACCTATTCTGTGTTTCTCTGAGTCAGCAGAATATCACATATTTTGCCCCTCTTAATCATTTCTGTATAATCTCCCATTGGAGTTTAAAGCTTTTGAGCTACATTAAGATACATAAATATGTACTCTATTTCAGATATGTATTTTTAAATCAAGGCATATCAAAACAATTTATTGATCTCTATAATCTGTCCAAATGAATTAAATCATGATGAATTACTAACCTTCTATTTGGTATTTCATATTCAAGCATATATTGTAACATTCATTCAACAATTGTCAGTAGTTCTACATGGTGAGGAAACTAGTGTTTTAACCCATGGGACCAACTGGTCCGAGTTCAAGAGTAGACAGTTCTTATTTTCATACCCATGAAACATTTCATTGTAAAACCAGCCAGTGTAACACTGATACTTTGTTGTCATCACCTCTCAGCGCTCATTGATGAATGATGAATTTGGACATACCAAACTTAACTATAATGCATTAAAATAAACCACACTGGCTTCCTTAGCATGTTCCTTTTCATGTTTACATATTTAATATAATATACAAGTAAAACTAGAAAAGACAGTGGTTTGTGAACATTTATAAAACATCACTACTGGCTCATGATGGTCACTTTTATCAAGTTCTACCTATACAACACCAGTCTCAAGGTCCACAACACAACACCAGTCTCAAGGTCCCACAAACACAACACCAGTCTCAAGGTACACAACTCAACAACAGTCTCAAGGTCCACAACACAACACCAGTCTCAAGGTCCCCAACACAACACCAGTCTCAAGGTACACAAACACAACACCAGTCTCAAGGTCCCCAACACAACACCAGTCTCAAGGTCCACAACACAACACCAGTCTCAAGGTCCCCCAACACAACACCAGTCTCAAGGTCCACAACACAACACCAGTCTCAAGGTACACAACAACACCAGTCTCAAGGTCCCCAACACAACACAACAGTCTCAAGGTCCACAACACAACACCAGTCTCAAGGTCCACACACACAACAACACCAGTCTCAAGGTACACAACACAACACCAGTCTCAAGGTACACAACACAACACCAGTCTCAAGGTACACAACACAACACCAGTCTCAAGGTCCCCAACACAACACCAGTCTCAAGGTCCACAACAACACAACACCAGTCTCAAGGTCCACAACACAACACCAGTCTCAAGTCACACACCAGTCTCAAGGTCCTCCAACACAACACCAGTCTCAAGGTCCACAACACAACACCAGTCTCAAGGTCCACAAACACAACAACAGTCTCAAGGTCCCCCAACACAACACCAGTCTCAAGGTCCTCCAACACAACACAGTCAGTCTCAAGGTCCCCACACACACCAGTCTCAAGGTACACAACACAACACCAGTCTCAAGGTCCACAACACAACACCAGTCTCAAGGTCCACAACACAACACCAGTCTCAAGGTACCAGTCAACAAGGTCTCAAGGTCCCACAACACAACACCAGTCTCAAGGTCACAACACACAACACCAGTCTCAACACAACACAACACCAGTCTCAAGGTCCCCAACACAACACCAGTCTCAAGGTCCACAACACAACACCAGTCTCAAGGTCCACAACACAACACCAGTCTCAAGGTCCACAAACACAACACCAGTCTCAAGGTCCCCAACACAACACCAGTCTCAAGGTCCACAACACAACAACAGTCTCAAGGTCCACAACACAACACCAGTCTCAAGGTCCCCAACACAACACCAGTCTCAAGGTCCACAACACAACACACCAGTCCAGTCTCAAGGTCCCCAACACAACACCAGTCTCAAGGTCCCACAACACAACACCAGTCTCAAGGTCCCCAACACAACACCAGTCTCAAGGTCCCCAACACAACACCAGTCTCAAGGTCCACAACACAACACCAGTCTCAAGGTCCCCAACACAACAACAGTCTCAAGGTACCCAACACAACACCAGTCTCAAGGTCCCCAACACAACACCAGTCCAGGTCCCCAACACAACACCAGGTCAAGGTCCACAACACAACACCTCAGTCTCAAGGTCCACAACACAACACCAGTCTCAAGGTCCCCAACTCAACACCAGTCTCAAGGTCCACAACACAACACCAGTCTCAAGGTCCACAACACAACAAGTCTCAAGGTCTCCCAAGGTCCCCAACACAACACCAGTCTCAAGGTCTCCCAACACAACACCAGTCTCAAGGTCCACAACACAACACCAGTTTCAAGGTCCCCAGCACAACACCAGTCTCAAGGTTTGCCTACTCAACACCAGTCTCAAGGTCCACAACACAACACCAGTCTCAAGGTCCATCAGCACAACACCAGTCTCAAGGTTTGCCTACTCAACACCAGTCTCAAGGTCCCCCAACACAACACCAGTCTCAAGGTCCATCGACACAACGCCAGTCTCTAGGTCATCAGCAACACCAGTTTCAATGTCACGTGTTCATGTCTACTGGTTTTCTAAGGTTTAATATGATACATCTGCCCCTTGAAGTTGAGAACATCATTACTGACTCCTCCATACAGGTGCCACACGACCTGCGAGAGTGGTCATTATGTTGGTGTTCTGCTTCAACATGAATAGCATGGTGCAGTGTGAGTGAGTTGGGTTTGGCACCAAGATGACCAACAGTTCAGTCATATTATCATGTGTTAGCATACTGTGAGGTGAAAGTCCAAACTAATATGTTAGCTAATATCTGAAACCAAATTGATCAAGGAATATAAAACTATATAGACCATACACTGAAACCTACATGGATCAAAGTATTGAAACCCACATGGACCAAAGGGTTGAAAGTCACATGGACCAAGGGATTGAAACTCATGATCAATCGACCAGCAGGTGAAGAGGTGCACAGAAACACATTCCACATAGCAATAAAGTTTCTCCTTGTCCAAATGTACCACAGAGCTACCACTTCAAACAGGCAACTTATCACATAACCCAAGATAAGCTGTGTACTTGTGTAAAATATGCAACGTACATCACAAGTACCCAATAAAGTTGTTTAAAGTTGTTTGTCCTTTAAGTCAAACAACCCCACCAAATACATATATTCTTGAACAACACTAGGATTAATTACACACTGTAGTCTTTTCAGCTTTTATATATTTCTTTCCAGATCTTGATTTATGTATTGACTGCCGACACACTTATACCAGTACAAGAAGTCTAGTCTACTTGCATGTTTTTAATTGCCATGTAGATTGCTGTAGTGAGATTATGTGACATGTGACACACTTGAGGCAGAAAACATGAAAACACAATCTTGAAGACTCCTGAAACAGTGTCTTACATAGGATTAATTAAAACCCATGAATTTATTGATGTAAAATACCCACCAGATTCGTCCCAAAGGAGTAAAAATATACTGAAAAGTCACAGAAAACAACTATCTCCCCACAAAGTGAATGATAACTGAAATACATGAAGTAAATCCTCAGTTATGGAAAGAATTATTTGAAGTTCTGTGATCAGGAATAACAAATCTATAGATTACTAATGTGCTCCTCTCTTTCAGACCATAAACTCCTGTCAGTGCTATAAACCTGTTATGAATTGGGCTTCGGCAACCTATGCTTGTAGAAAGATTTCTTATCAATGATCATACATTTGGTACATTTCACCCAGACAGCAGAATATTTTAAATCCTGACCTGGATATTTAAGCTACAGATATGTTTGAGGAACTTGTACATTTGTACATGCAGTGTTCACGAATGGTGTTTCAAAGTAACAGGACATTGGGTCCTGTAAGTTTCAGATATGTGTCTGACCCATTGAAAATTCAAAGGACCCATAGAATAAAATTAAACACACATTTCAGATTTAACATTTATATAATTGGCATTGAAGTGCTTACTCCAGCAGTCATGGTCAATAATATGCACTTCATTCACAAGTACAATAATGCAGGCAGAATAAACATATGCAATAGCTCCTTCTCACCTGGTGGCAGTTTATGTCGAGATCCACTCCTAGGTATCCGTGTAACAGCGTAATCCAGGTAGTCAGCGTTGCGGGCGAAGCACATACACTGAGCATCCCGCGTGGGGTCATAGTAACTCCCATGTTCACATGTTGAGTGATGGGGTCCGTCCCCGTTAGATGGGTAATCATATCCATTGTTTGTCATACTGCCATCAGCTTGGTCACCAGTGAAAACGGAGGCCACGTGGGGATGATGCCGCCCCTGACGCAGCCTCTTCCTGGGCCAGGTGTTGGATCCAAGACCAGGATTGCTTCCTTCTTCAGATTCCTTCTTACCAAAACTGCGATGCATATCTACGAAATTTGGCTCCTCTGTTTGATGAACACATGTGTGATGAATCTGCTGCTCGGCTATGCAGCCCTGGAACAACAAACATACAAACATCATATCAACTGTTGTTTACATCTACCAACAACAAACAACCATCCTCAAAGACATCTCAAAAGTGCAGATAGAAATATGCATCAAAGAGTTCTGGAACATGAGGGTAAACTTGAGCAGTATCATTAAGCACATTTCCTTGAACACAGTGTAATAAAATGAACATAATGAGCCAGATTTCTGGTGTTTACTGCCATAGTATTGCAGGAATATTGCAAGAGGTGCCGAAAGCTGAACAAATTCGCTCGCTTACAAATATACACTTATTTCCAATGTCAATTAAGTCTACTTTTTAAATCAAAACCTCAATCAGTTCTTGTATGCTTGTATGAATTGTACCACTTAGTTTGGAGCCAGATCAAGCTGAGGTATGTTGCTCCACCACCTTACAATCAATCTTGGCACTGATTAGCCTAACGAATGGATGTAATCAGCGCCTGGCTCTCATATCAACTGGAAAACTCTCGTATCAGAGAGCAGAGTAATTAATAGCCTGAACCACTCGGCAAGTAACAGGTGTCAAGATCATTCTCAGCCTCAGGTCAAAATCCACTTATTAAATGCTCTCAGGTAAATCAGTGTAATCCGTAGGCATTGCTTAAATGAACTCGAAAAGAAATCTGGAATGGATTATTTTCCTGAGGTTATTTATATCAATTATTAATGAAAGAAATGAAACATAACTGCATACAAACAACATACTTACATAACTGTAAGAACTGACTTATATACTTGTGTTTATATTGACATAGACATAACAACTTGCGTGTTTACTGTGTGAATCTGTGAATACAGAATGCATGCACACTGATGTTTAAGTTTGTAACTCAGGAAACATATCGGAAACATATTGAAGTAATTTCACATGAAAAAATTACTACAAAAGTTATGTCACAAAACTTCCCCATTGATAATGATACATTAGCCAATCACAAAATAATATTTCCTTAGTGTGGGCATGGTCTATTTCATTTGTTTATAGAAACAGAGATGGGAAAAATAAAAAACTGCTCGTAGTAATGAAAGAAATGCCATGGAAACACATGCAATTCTTTATTTAACAAAACCCCATAGCATGAATTGCCATGACTAAAAAGGCTGGGCCAGCCATCTTAAGGCCGTCTCCACACAGCTGTAACTCCCATACACACTGTCAACACTGAAACAATCTGATGAATAGATTTTGTCCTAAACTATGTATACATTTTATGTAAATACAGAAACAATACTTCTTGATCACAAGAGCACAATTACTATAGAGTAAAATGTTCTTCCGTATCTCATGAGTATTTTGTTTCCTGCTCAACAGAAGGTGTAGCACAAGGCATGTGATGGCTGAATGACCAGCTTTATTAAATAGGTAGCATACAAAAGTGACTTACTGAAATGAGCGAGTGATCTAGAGAGTGATTTTGTGATTTTGAGAGAGAATGAGTGTATTCCACTACTACAATGGGTGTTGCTGTACACATGTTTTACACTGTGTACCCATCTGGTGAATCACACCAAGGATTTAAGCCAATGCTTATACCGGGCTACCTCACCTACCCTGACAGAGACAGGGAACAGTGGGAGGTTAATCTACAGAGTGGGAAACAAACAAAAAGCACAATCAAAGTAATCTGAAACGATTCCTTTTCACTGTCGATGAAGGCAGTACATAAAGAACAAATCTCTCTGTGTACTACTTAAAAAGTTGAAGAACCCCAGAATTGTTCATATGACTTTACTTAATCTGCCATGTCAAACAGATTAACAATAGCCGCATGAAAAACTGTGTCCATGACAGATTAACCATGGTCATATAAACAGTCAAGTGTTCTTTATGCATTTCTTCTAGCGGTATAGTTCCTTAACTGATGAAACACATGTCAATAATGCACAAATGATAATACGTTCCACTTGAGAAATATACAGATTGTAAATTAATCTAAGAATGCATTCAGATGTTCCTTCATTTGGCAAAATGATATATATTTTCTCATTACAAGCATGCGGAAAATTTAAAAATTACCATACACCAAAGTGAAAATAGCTGCATGCCCGAAAGCAAATGAAGTTGAAACCAGACCCAAAAACATCAGATGAGGAGGATAAAACTCCCATCAACAGAAACACAGAAAACAGGTGACAAGTCGGGATGGTACAACATGAGTTACCTACCCTTGGAACCTGATTGAAAACCATCTGCCTTCTACTTCTTATCACCTAGGTTCAGAATAAAACAGTCACATCAAATGGCAGTTGTACGATCTAATTACTGTGAAGCACTGGAGCATGGATCTGGCCGCATCATTTCAGTTCATATCCTGTAGGTAACAATTTGTACTATCACACAGACCATGCAGTTCTCGTTCACTGCGACTTTCCCCCGTAACTGTGAGTGTCAAAGTAATGGATCAGTGTTTCCAGGTATGCAATCGACGTTGCAGATGTTACAAAAACATTCCAGGACACGCAGTCAGGATGTAACTAATCTTACAGTTTCCACATTGATTACAATATGAATCAAATCACGTCATTTCATCAGGTATATTTAACAATACTCTCAGTTCATCAGTGACCTTAGCTACTGGCATTTACAGCCTATACTATCAACATCAGTATATCAATCAATAATTCAATTATACTGTTGCCACCTGAGGCTGTCTTGGTTTCACAGCACAATGACTATTGATCACACATAATCCCAGACCAGCCTCTTTACTCTCCAATCAAACTCACCAAAACAGTCATTTTTTTGCATTACATTGAAAAGCTTATTTCATTAAAACACATTAAGCCATAAAACACGTTCCTATGCATCAGTGTCATGCCAATCAGTGGGCGCAAGTCTCCACCTGACAACAGAATCAATGTCACACAGCACTCTCATGTCCAAATGATCAATACAGATCTCCACACGACACAATTCCCAGCTGCCAAAATACTCCGTTATTCCACCTGAACACTGTTTCCAGGTAAAGCAATGATACGAGATGCAGCGACTACTTTGTGTAACAATGCATCCACTTGTGACAATGACTCTGCAGTGATGTACAAGGTGTCAACACGTCTACACTAATTACAAGGTATGAATGACTTTATACTGCTGTTGTGAATGACAATGATGGATGTATTACTATAGAAGGTGTACACTGACAATGATGTGTGTACAACTCTACCAAGGCTTATTACAATGTGTGAATGACTCTATATTGCTGTACACTGTTGTGAATGACAATGATGGATGTATTACTATAGAAGGTGTACACTGACAATGATGTGTGTACAACTCTACCAAGGCTTATTACAATGTGTGAATGACTCTATATTGCTGTACACTGTTGTGAATGACAATGATGGATGCATTACTATAGAAGGTGTACACTGACAATGATGTGTGTACAACTCTACCAAGGCTTATTACAATGTGTGAATGACTCTATATTGCTGTACACTGTTGTGAATGACAATGATGGATGTATTACTATAGAAGGTGTACACTGACAATGATGTGTGTACAACTCTACCAAGGCTTATTACAATGTGTGAATGACTCTATATTGCTGTACACTGTTGTGAATGACAATGATGGATGTATTACTATAGAAGGTGTACACTGACAATGATGTGTGTACAACTCTACCAAGGCTTATTACAATGTGTGAATGACTCTATATTGCTGTACACTGTTGTGAATGACAATGATGGATGTATTACTATAGAAGGTGTACACTGACAATGATGTGTGTACAACTCTACCAAGGCTTATTACAATGTGTGAATGACTCTATATTGCTGTACACTGTTGTGAATGACAATGATGGATGTATTACTATAGAAGGTGTACACTGACAATGATGTGTGTACAACTCTACCAAGGCTTATTACAATGTGTGAATGACTCTATATTGCTGTACACTGTTGTGAATGACAATGATGGATGTATTACTATAGAAGGTGTACACTGACAATGATGTGTGTACAACTCTACCAAGGCTTATTACAATGTGTGAATGACTCTATATTGCTGTACACTGTTGTGAATGACAATGATGGATGTATTACTATAGAAGGTGTACACTGACAATGATGTGTGTACAACTCTACCAAGGCTTATTACAATGTGTGAATGACTCTATATTGCTGTACACTGTTGTGAATGACAATGATGGATGTATTACTATAGAAGGTGTACACTGACAATGATGTGTGTACAACTCTACCAAGGCTTATTACAATGTGTGAATGACTCTATATTGCTGTACACTGTTGTGAATGACAATGATGGATGTATTACTATAGAAGGTGTACACTGACAATGATGTGTGTACAACTCTACCAAGGCTTATTACAATGTGTGAATGACTCTATATTGCTGTACACTGTTGTGAATGACAATGATGGATGTATTACTATAGAAGGTGTACACTGACAATGATGTGTGTACAACTCTACCAAGGCTTATTACAATGTGTGAATGACTCTATATTGCTGTACACTGTTGTGAATGACAATGATGGATGTATTACTATAGAAGGTGTACACTGACAATGATGTGTGTACAACTCTACCAAGGCTTATTACAATGTGTGAATGACTCTATATTGCTGTACACTGTTGTGAATGACAATGATGGATGTATTACTATAGAAGGTGTACACTGACAATGATGTGTGTACAACTCTACCAAGGCTTATTACAATGTGTGAATGACTCTATATTGCTGTACACTGTTGTGAATGACAATGATGGATGTATTACTATAGAAGGTGTACACTGACAATGATGTGTACAACAACTCTACCAAGGCTTATTACAATGTGTGAATGACTCTATATTGCTGTACACTGTTGTGAATGACAATGATGGATGTATTACTATAGAAGGTGTACACTGACAATGATGTGTGTACAACTCTACCAAGGCTTATTACAATGTGTGAATGACTCTATATTGCTGTACACTGTTGTGAATGACAATGATGGATGTATTACTATAGAAGGTGTACACTGACAATGATGTGTGTACAACTCTACCAAGGCTTATTACAATGTGTGAATGACTCTATATTGCTGTACACTGTTGTGAATGACAATGATGGATGTATTACTATAGAAGGTGTACACTGACAATGATGTGTACAACTCTACCAAGGCTTATTACAATGTGTGAATGACTCTATATTGCTGTACACTGTTGTGAATGACAATGATGGATGTATTACTATAGAAGGTGTACACTGACAATGATGTGTGTACAACTCTACCAAGGCTTATTACAATGTGTGAATGACTCTATATTGCTGTACACTGTTGTGAATGACAATGATGGATGTATTACTATAGAAGGTGTACACTGACAATGATGTGTGTACAACTCTACCAAGGCTTATTACAATGTGTGAATGACTCTATATTGCTGTACACTGTTGTGAATGACAATGATGGATGTATTACTATAGAAGGTGTACACTGACAATGATGTGTGTACAACTCTACCAAGGCTTATTACAATGTGTGAATGACTCTATATTGCTGTACACTGTTGTGAATGACAATGATGGATGTACTACTATAGAAGGTGTACACTGACAATGATGTGGTACAACTCTACCAAGGCTTATTACAATGTGTGAATGACTCTATATTGCTGTACACTGTTGTGAATGACAATGATGGATGTACTACTATAGAAGGTGTACACTGACAATGATGTGTGTACAACTCTACCAAGGCTTATTACAATGTGTGAATGACTCTATATTGCTGTACACTGTTGTGAATGACAATGATGGACACTATAGAAGGTGTACACTGACAATGAATGTACAACTCTACCAAGGCTTATTACAATGTGTGAATGACTCTATATTGCTGTACACTGTTGTGAATGACAATGATGGATGTATTACTATAGAAGGTGTACACTGACAATGATTGTACAACTCTACCAAGGCTTATTACAATGTGTGAATGACTCTATATTGCTGTACACTGTTGTGAATGACAATGATGGATGTATTACTATAGAAGGTGTACACTGACAATGATGTGTGTACAACTCTACCAAGGCTTATTACAATGTGTGAATGACTCTATATTGCTGTACACTGTTGTGAATGACAATGATGGATGCATTACTATAGAAGGTGTACACTGACAATGATGTGTGTACAACTCTACCAAGGCTTATTACAATGTGTGAATGACTCTATATTGCTGTACACTGTTGTGAATGACAATGATGGATGTATTACTATAGAAGGTGTACACTGACAATGATGTGTGTACAACTCTACCAAGGCTTATTACAATGTGTGAATGACTCTATATTGCTGTACACTGTTGTGAATGACAATGATGGATGTATTACTATAGAAGGTGTACACTGACAATGATGTGTGTACAACTCTACCAAGGCTTATTACAATGTGTGAATGACTCTATATTGCTGTACACTGTTGTGAATGACAATGATGGATGCATTACTATAGAAGGTGTACACTGACAATGATGTGTGTACAACTCTACCAAGGCTTATTACAATGTGTGAATGACTCTATATTGCTGTACACTGTTGTGAATGACAATGATGGATGTATTACTATAGAAGGTGTACACTGACAATGATGTGTGTACAACTCTACCAAGGCTTATTACAATGTGTGAATGACTCTATATTGCTGTACACTGTTGTGAATGACAATGATGGATGTATTACTATAGAAGGTGTACACTGACAATGATGTGTGTACAACTCTACCAAGGCTTATTACAATGTGTGAATGACTCTATATTGCTGTACACTGTTGTGAATGACAATGATGGATGTATTACTATAGAAGGTGTACACTGACAATGATGTGTGTACAACTCTACCAAGGCTTATTACAATGTGTGAATGACTCTATATTGCTGTACACTGTTGTGAATGACAATGATGGATGCATTACTATAGAAGGTGTACACTGACAATGATGTGTGTACAACTCTACAAAGGCTAATTACAATGTGTGAATGACTCTATATTGCTGTACACTGTCAATGATACATGCATTACTATACGGTGGTTTACACTGACTATGACTCTACGATACTGTCTCAGTCACAAGCACTCTAGATAGGGTTTGGTTGTTTGGTTGTTGTTTAATGCAGCACTCAGCAATATTCCAGCTATATATAGCAGCAGTCTTTAAACAATCGATTCTGGACCAGACAATCTAGTGATCCATAGCATAAGCATCAATCTACACAATTGAGTCTGATCACCTGCTCCCGTTAGTTGCCTTTTACGACAAGCATGGGTTGTTGAAGATCAGTTCTAAATCAGATCTTCACGGGTCAGCACACTAGTGCTTGTTGTAAGCAGTGATAAACTCAGGTCACCTGGTCAGGCTCAATGACTACAGTGTTTTCATCAGCCACTGGTTAGGTGGCATTAGGGCTCCATGAATATAACCGGTTTACCGGTATTTACCAGTTCAGACATGAAAGCGATCACGTATTGCGATACGCTGATCAAAACCAGTATTTTCACTTGCATTTGGAAAACTTTGTAACACTTGGAAATCTTCGGATATGTCCTTGTTTCATTTGTGCCAAATATTATTTATATTTTATTTTATCATGATTAAAAGTTGTTAAGCTTAATCAAGCCTAGTGATTTTGTTGTGTTTTTGCTCTATAAATCAAGAATTAACTTCGATTATAAGTTGTTTTTTTTTTTAAAATACTTCATGCAATATATTGCAATACATATCGCAATACATGCTTTCGCATGATCGCAAATATATCGCAATATGAAAATTCTCTGCAATACCCACCCCTAGGTGGCATGGATTCGATTATTTACCAGCATGATATTGCTGGACTATTGCAAAATGCATATAAAGAATAAGATTAACAAACAACAAAAAGTGAAGTACAAAAGTGTCCAGACATTATGTCTGATGTTTTTGTGCACTGTGGACCCGTGAAGATCCAGGTTAGAACTGATCTTCAGCACACCATGCTTGTCGTAAAAGGCGACTAACGGGATCTGGTGGTCAGACTCACTGACTTGGTTGACACATGTCATTGTATCCCACTTGCGTAGATCGATGCTCATGCAGTTGATCACTGGATTGTCTGGTCCAGACTCTACAGACCACTACCATAAAGCTGGAATATTGCTGAGTGCGGCATTAAACAGCAAACAAACCAACAAACAACGGTGCACTGTGAGTAATATTGCAGCTGTCTCCCACTCCACTTAGCACATGACACCTACTTCATCACTGAGTCATAGACATTCATTATTATATATGAGATGATGTTGCAACTTATCAAAAAATGCATGCAGTCTCATATGTATCCTATTGTTTACTGCAATGTGACATCACTGCAGTCATGTGCCATAAACAGGTGGTGGGGTAGCGTTGTGGTTAAGGTGTTTGCCTGTCATGCCGAAGACCTAGGTTCGATACCCCACTTGGGTAAAATGTGTGAAGCCTATTTCTGTCATTCCACACTGTGATATTGCTGGAATATTGCTAAAAGCGACGTAAACCTAAACTCACTCGTGTGCTGTTGAACCCAGAAAAAATATTACTTAGAAATAGTGTCATATTGCTGCAAATCATGTTTAATTATCTGTTTAATATCATCCTCAAACTCTGTAGACAGTAAGATACCTGCTGTTTTCCTTTGAATATTGTTTTACACCACATCGAACCTGAAACTCTGTTACACACCTGTCTCAATCCGCTCCTTAAAAATATTAACAAGGCTCACTTATCCTTTGCTCACAGTTTAAACTAACAGTCTACACATTGAAACTGGGTTAGGTTACATCTCATTACGACTGTGCCCACTCACGGAGCATATAGACATAACACAGCTCAAGTTTGTCCTCAAACACTGTCACTGACCAGTTCCATCAGCTCCGTGTACATACTCAATACAAGCATTTGCATATGTAAATAGGAATAGGTCAAATGTCATGTCTGTACAATTTATTCTTAACCTCAGCATAAAAACTCAAAGAAATAGTATTGACACTTTTTAATACTAATAGGGATTTAGGGATTATTAAAACCCTTTCCTTTGGTTTGAAGATAAGCTTTTTGTAAATAACATCGATAATATCAACAGAGTAAAGAAAATCTGATAATTATTATGAGCCTTCTATGTTATACAAACATAATTAATTTCTGATGATGATCGACAGGCTGATCAACTGATGGCCTTGAAGATGTATTGTGACAGCAGTAGGAAGACAAGCACCTGTTTCTTGATCATGTATCCACCATAGTCACGCAGTGAACACCAACAACTACACTAGCTGTTGAGTGAGGGGAGGGACAAGAGATGGAGAGATGGGCACCTCTTTCAACTAATACTTCAGCAACATCATTGCCTTTTTTTGTTGGGGGGGGAGAAGGAAGAATAACTTTGACACATTGTATTGAATTGAGGAAGTAAACACAGACAAAATAAAATTGGCCTTCCTAAAAAGAAAGTAATGATTCATCAAAAGGTCTAAAAATAATTCTTTTACTGTCAGTTATTATTATGTTAGTGGTGTAACAGTGCAAATACAAAACCAAATATGTATGTAAAGACACAAATGTTTCAAAGTATTAATATCATTGCTAAAATATAAATAAAATATAAATATTGGAGTTGTGCAAGTTAAATTTGCACTGAACTTTTGTGAAGTGAAAATAAGAAGGTATAGTTCTTTTTATTACAAAATCAAGTACAGGAATGCCAGACAAAGGAGATTTTATAATCTATATCAATCGTCAGGCATCTGGCAATTTACTTGCCTGGATCTTCTGGTCAGAGGTTAAGGCCACACCAGTGTGACCTAATTTATTTAAGAAAATAATGGTTGTTTCCTTCCTGCAGAGTTCCCTCCCCCAACACTTTCATGTACCACACGCAGGAAGCATAGAATCATCAACGTAAGTGTGACCCTCTTATCCTGATGGCCGTGTATCAACGTAAGTGTGACCCTCTTATACTGATGGCAGTGTAGGCCGAGCTGGGGAGTACTGGACTAACTGATTCAGGGACGTGTTGTATTGTTTGACGTCCTGGTTGACACCAACATTACAGTCTATACTAACCCACCCTCACAAGAAATGGGATTTACTCTGCGATGATGTTAAGTTCTGCTAATCTGGAAAATGGTTAACAAACTTAGAAAAAAATAGAGCAGCAGGTGACTTAATATATCAAAAAGCATCTTCAACCTTCAATTTGACTTTTTTACTATGGAGTCTATCCAAAGCTATTTTTATCATATGCAGCAATATTGCAAATTATTACATTTTCTGGAGATTTCTCACTACACTGCAATGATATGCTACACAGTAACTTTATGTAAACAGAATAATAAGACGCTATTTGGCTGAATTGCCCTGTAAGCATGAGCTCTACCAACAGACTTGACTGGCTTTCATTACAGCTAGGCCAATTAGAGTTATCTCCCCTTCCTCTTCACTCCCTGAACACACACATTGTGAAGTGCAAGAAAAATTAGCACTCATTTCATGGAGAGTACAACACATTTTTTTGATACTAATAGTTTACTGTTTGAAAACAATAACTGTGTCACAGCTAAACTTTCAAGCACCATTACCAAGGCCAATAACAGTACCATATGTTTTAGTCAACATTGTTTCTATAGAAGAAAGTGGTTCAAACACCAAAATATGCTGATAAACTGTTTATGATCTACTGTCTTTCATGTATTAAGGGGGCGGTGGGGTAGTCTAGTGGTTAAGCGTTGGCTCGTCACGCCGAAGACCCGGGTTCGAATCCCCACATGGGTACATTGTGTGAAGCCCATTTCTGGTGTCCCCCGCCGTGATGTTGCTGGAATATTGCTAAAAGCGGCGTAAAACCAAACTCAGTCAGTCAGTCATGTATTAAGTGCCCATGGTACATGGAGACCCTACTGCAGTCAGTACTTACTCACCTTTGTGGAAATAAAGGTAAACTACTGAGCACGAGGTTACAATATATTAAATGAATCTCTCTACATCATATCAAACAGAAGGAAATATGACATCTTGTTTTCAAAACAAGCAGGACATTTGATACATCAAATCCAGTAAGCATAAAGAAATCATGTTTGTATTGACTCACCTCGCATTCTGCCATATGCATATGCACCCCTCCGTCGCGGGCCGCCCACCCAGGTAGCGTCTCTGTGGGGTGGTGGTGAGTGTGCCCGGGGTGGGTGTGGGGGACATGGCTACCCTTCTCCACATGGTACACCATGGTATGTAGGATGATGGTCAAGGAAAATAACACACTGGATCACTTCATCATATTACAACTGGCCATTCAACATATACATCAAGTCTAATATAAGGGTAGTGCTCTATAGCTGTACCTGTCTGGATCTGGCTGTAATCAGTGGATAGTGTGTATTTAGCGACATCATTAGACAGATACACATAATAGGGTCTTATTTGGCAGACAAGTGATGTTTGCACTATCCTTGCTGGGATATGGTTTAATCACTGTTACAAGGCAAACAGTTCACCAGGTCATTAGTCCTGATCCTCCCAATTATGATCACTCGTATGTCAGAACCATATCTGCTCCTGGTTTCACAAAGTGGGACATGTTTAGAACCTAAAATATTCCTGCGTTCCCTTCTACATTTAGCTGACATTCTGTCCCAGTACCGGTAAAGTTAAAAAAACCTGTTAAAACCACTGAACCAAAACAAACATACAATGTGTTAAAAATTACATTCTGCCTGGCCTAACACCTATTGAGGTGTCACTCCACCAAAACATCAGACCAACTCCACCTAGGACTTGTCACATTATCAAAGCCAGCCTGTCGTTGAAATGAAGTTTTTTCAATACAAATCCATATGAAATACAGCATAAAAACCATGTAATTGTTCTGACTGCAAACGAGAGCACTCATGCTTGCACAAATAACTGGCTCAGGTAACATTGACACCTGCACAGGTGTGTCAAATAAATCAACATTAGGACTTTGAAAGAAATAATACATTAATTGTTCCATGCCCTGCAACTGTCTCACTAGCTGATTAGAGATTACACAGGTGTACAAAGCCTTGACATTTGGGAAAGGTAAAACTCAGGTCATAAATCAAAGAGATGTACACACCTTGATTCCTCATGACAGGCGATTTGTGATCTAATAATTGAATAATCCACACAACATTGATGGTAGATGTTAGTGGTGTAACGATCCATCGATAGTATCGATATTTACATCGTCAACTATGCGATACGAGTGCATCGATACAAAACCCATTTAGGCAATATATCAGGATATTTATATCGCGAGGGTCCATGATACATCAATGTATCGCCACAAGAGACGATGGCTCCCAATACAACTTAAATACTACTTAAAGTTGTAAGGAGTATTGCATTAGGAATAGGAAAGGAGTCTCTTTTGAAATTCTTCTGAATTTTAAAAACAAATTGAACTTTAAAGGAATTTGTTTGTATCTGTTATCTCTGTTACATGAACAAAGGAGTTGGTGTATAAGTCACAGAGTGTGAACATTTTACAAACTCTGTGAACTGAGAATAATTGTCTTCAGTTAATTGAAATATGCAGATATGTTTTAGTTGTTTGACAAATAAGACTATTTATTTATAGCTATAAACGATGTCTTAGCGTTGTTAAGAAAGAGGACAAAGAGAAGATAAAATTTAGAAAGCAGGCTTAAGTGATTCTGAATGCTGATATAAATTACATTGAGTTGTTTGTGAAAGCATTGGTGTAGAAATACAACCCCTACGAAACTTTCACTTTATATTAGATCAAGGTATACTGAATATGTTTGACTTTCTTAAGCATTTAATGCTGAAACTTTATTAGATGAACAGCTTTTTAAGTGTGTGTGAATGGAACACAAGTTCTGCTGTATAACAAATAAAGTTTCAGTCATTTATCTATCATATCTGTTCTGTTATTAGAAATTGTAAAGTATCGGAATACGTATCGTATCGCCACCATTGTATCGTGATGATAATCGTCTCGCAGGTTCCTGGCCAATACTTTCATGATATATCGTCTCGCCTCATTAAAATGGTATTGGGATATATCGTCTCGCAACTTAGGCCACGATACACAGCTCTAGTAGATGTACTATATTCAGTTCAAAATACACATGCATTAAGCTCTGTCTGACAGAGTAACCCCTGAAGATCCGGGTTAGAAATGGTCTTCAGTAACCCATGCTTGTAATAAGTGGCGACAGACAGGATCGGGTGGTCAGGCTCACTGACTTGGTTGACACATGTCATTGTCCGATGATCGATGCTCGTGCTGTTGATCACTGGATTGTCTGGTCCAGACTTGATTATTTACAGACCGTCGCCATTATAGCTGGAATATTGCTGAGTGTGGCATAAAACTAAACTCACTCACTCACTCACTGACAGAGTATGGTTTGTTTACAAGGCAGTCTGTGTACAGCAAGTCAACCCGACCCTAGCGCACAAGGTATTGAACAGGACATGACTGTACTCTGCCACTGTGATTATATTAAAGGACATCGTGTCAAAGCATGAGTTTCCTAGTTCATGCAGAATGTTCATGTCATCTTGACAAACTTCATTCAAAGGGGGGGCGGTGGGGTAGCTTAGTGATTAAAGTGTTGGCTCGTCACGCCGAAGACCCGGTTTCGAATCCCCACATGGGTACAATGTGTGAAGCCAACTTCTGGTGTCCCCCGCCGTGATATTGCTGGAATATTGCTAAATGCCGCGTAAAACCAAACTCAGTCAGTCAGTCATTCAAAGGGGCAAATTTGATTTTAATAGCTATGGTACATTGTATGTTATGATGGAAAACTATTTTGTCAACAGCTTCACCTGTGATACTGTTTCCCTACAACTGAAATGCATATTAATACTGTTAAATACACCCCCAAATATTCAAGCACTAGTGGCAATAGAATCAACTCCACCCACATTTGTAATCACTCTACCAAAGAGAGGGCAGCATCAGTCTCATGATGAGTGAAGCGTGTCAAACATAGACACAGAGAAAGTGACAAATGATGCCTTATCCCCTCTTCTACACACAGCTAACCTGTTACCACTGTCTCTGGTTGGCTATTGGGGTTATCCCATTTGCTGTTGTTGTTATTCCCTACAAAATAAAACCAGCCCACTATGATGATTATACACCCCATGACACATCCATTGTAGGCGCTGGGCTCTCAAAGGCATAAACAGCTTTAGAAATAAACAGTTATATTGTATGTTATACATTCCAAAATATCAGTGGCTTAAATATAAAGAAGCATGAATTCAGAGAGGAAGGTTATAGTGTTAGAACATGGGTGTGATGCTTGTTGAATGCTGCACTGTAAATGAGTCTGCACCAGACTATCCCGTGATTGTCATTGTGTGATGAAATGCAATCAACCAAGTCACCGAGTCTGACCATCCAATCCACAAAGTCGCCTCATATGACCAGCATGGACTGGGGACCAATTCTAATCCACATGGGTCAGGACAAAAACCTGATAATGCCTGCTTAGATCAGTTACCACCCTAGATGTTAGTTCTCATAATGCCTGTTATCTATCAACTAAATTTTACATATAGCCTTGAAGTTAAGATCTTCAGAAAATATATCCCAAAATATTCACATGTAATACTTCATTATGACTTAATATACGTTAAAGTTTGGTTTAATGTCTTCAGCAGGATCATAAGCATCTGCTATTGAAATTATCACCTGTATTGGGTGAGTTGTTTATATGTTCACATGCTTATCAACTGTTGTCTACATGCATCTATCATCAACCATTCTCCAGACAAAGGATATCGAATCCGAGGCGTACGGAATCCATGTGGTTCAGAGTAACATATTCTTGTTCTGGAATCCGGCTCTCGTTGACGTATGTCTGAAACAAAGGAAGCAACATTAGCATACATCACAGAACCCCTGTTCTCACACACCTGAAACTAACATGAGCAGAGGACGGCCAACACAAGCCCACATCTACAGGATAGCTTATGTAGGGCATCCCTGACACAGGCAGGAGTAAGGGTGGAAGGGGATCGGTGTATACTCTCAGGGACTGTGTATGTGTGTGAGAGTGTGCACCTATAGGGACAACTGGTACCTACACCCAGAGCCAGGGACAACTTACTGAAGAGACTGATGCTATCAACATTTCAACATGTATGTCGTGGAAATTGAGCCTTCAATTGATATTAATTTTATAGAAATAAGTAATGTTAACAAACAATAAATTGGTAGAGAAATATCCCTACTCTGAGGAAAAAATGCTACTTTGTAATCCTGAAACAATATATTGCCTTCAGGACGTTCATTAAAATCAGAATTGTGCTTCACACAGAGTACCCATGTGGTTCTTGGATGTGAGGGGCGGTTCGGGTAGCCTAGTGGTTAAAGCGTTGGCTCGTCACGCCGAAGACCCGGGTTCGATTCCCCACATGGGCACAATGTTTGAAGCCCATTTCTGGTGTCCCCTGCCGTGATATTGCTGGAATATTGCTAAAAGCGGCGGCGTAAAACTAAACTCAGTCAGTCAGTCTTGGATGTGAAGAGCAAACACTTCAAGCACCAGGCTACCCTACAACCCACTGCTTGCAGTAGCTTGTGACAGAGTTTATTATATGAAATAAAAGTCTGTGTGTCCAACTCAGTGAAAATGATGAACATGTGAACTGATGTCATAGTTTAGGAAGCAGTCAAGGTAATAATGTGTTTCTATTTATATGTAATGATTCACTTTGAACCAGGAAGATGATTTAGAGAGATGTGCATTACAACGGTGGTTCCTGACCTGCTTAGAAACATCCTAACTATATTGTTATTAGTTGACTTCTATTCTAATAATATCTCACCCCAAACTAAAAAAACGTTATAGTTCCTGTTTTTGCAACAGAATCTACTTCCACAAATTCAGTCCGAGTTTATGAAAACATCATTTAACAAACACATGTACATACTGCCCAAACTGTGTACTGAGTACAGATCAGTGTCTCAAGTGGCTGTAGACAGAAGCAAGGTACATTTTTAGACAAACACGTATTCCCCATTAAGTCGGATATGTGTGGTTGAACTTAATAGTGCTACAAAGCATCCCAGAGTCTCTAGAGAGGGTGAGGATGAAATGCTAGAGCTGGGAAGAAGATGAGAATTTGATGTGGATCTTTGTTTGATAATATATATTCTGTAGGGCCTGTAAGAGAGACTAGGTACATATTATTCCACTGCAGTGACCTCAGTCATACAAACATGCTTTGTGCACCTCACATTACTACAGGGAGGATTTCATACACCTATATCCAAGTATTAAATGTGAACCAAGATGTTTATATATACCCACAATCTGCACGTTTCTAACTAAACACCCATTCAAGCGTTAGAGGAAAAACATAAAGTGCGAATTTCAACAAAGTCCAGGCCCTTAAGTTGCCACACTGAAAACACCTTGTTGCTCATAGAGGCGTAACACAATAAACTCCATAAGTGTTGGCGCTAACTCCCATACACGGACAATCTAACATGCCTAACATAAAACCACCATTTACGACCCTTATCAAGTGCTACGTAACTGGCATACACCAACGCCACCCCACGGGTGTAAAGAGCTGGATCTAAACAAGATCTTATAGTATTGCTTGATATCTGCGGTCTACCTGGTTAATATAGGATGATACTATATGTGTGTTATGTAAGACTTTCTGGAAAGTCTACGGTACTCATGACTAATTGAATGGATAGTACAGAACACAGTTCTATTGATCTAATAGTTCTTAAAACTTCTTATATTTCCTGAGTGACATCATATCTGCTCATATACGGCAAAATGATCCTGAAAAGGATATGTTTACCCTCAGGTAATAAATATGCGTACTCACCAGCTTTACTCAAGAGTCTGTGTTACATGATAGAACTATATGTCACAATGACAGAACTATGCCCTGCTACTTCTATAAAGGGGACAGAAATAGCAGTGAGGGTAACTCTTGGCAGATCCCCCAGTCTAAGCCATGTAAACTAGAGATCACAGGCGGATGACAGCAGGTAAACTCCATGTAATTGATTTGTACGTTTGACTTGTAATGTCCACTGTGTCTTCCTCTACCAGCTTCAGGCCAGCTCAGAGCTGCACCTACTGTAGCTCACTCTGCCAGAGGGGGGCAACACGCATTAAACAAATTGGTCATTTTATACAGGCCTACTTCTCAGGATATGGTTCTTTCATTGTACAGGGCAGTGGGGTAGTCAAGTGGTTAAAGTGTTCACTCATCATGCTGAAGACCTGAGTTCAGTTCCCTACCTGGGTAAAATGTGTGAAACCCATTTCTGGTGTCCGCCCTGATATTACTAGACTAGAAAGTGTTTATACTCGTAAAAACAGATGTGCCCCCCTTCCCCCAATTCAACGTTGAGACCTCAAACAATTCATTTGATTCCTTCAATTTCAAAATGTCTAAGTATGAAAATACATATTATACATGTTTTATAGTAGTACATGTATATTGTTGATGCTTCTAAGCTTACTACTAATTGGTATTGGTATTAAGTATACAAAATTTGGTGAAGATGGGTCAAATAGTTTCACAATTTTGCTCGGGAAACAAACTTTACCCTTCAAAAAGATAAAATCCAAATTGTTGCCACTGAAACAGAAATAAATAAAATTGAAAAAAAACTCAAACCCTCAAAAGGCATATCTACATGATATGAAGAGGCTGTACACCAAATTTGGTGAAGTTTCAAGTAGTCTTAGAGTTATGTTCCTGAAACAATGGGAACACCTACGCCCATGCCAACGCCGATGGAAACTCAACCAAAAACAATATGTCTCCCGACCCTTCAGGGGGAGACATAATTATTGCTAAAAGCAGTGCAAAATCTTACTCATTAACTTTCAATGAACATTTCTTTTCATACTGTACATTGTTGTACACTAGTGACAAAGGTGACACCAAACTTTTTACATCAGAATATTATAGCTGTGGAGACGACCTTCCGATGACATCTGCTCGCAGAAACACTTGAATGAAATCAAGCTTCAGTTTGAAGGAAATAATGGTTTGAATTTTAGGCCTCACAAATTACAATAACTTGAACATGACAGTTTGAGAAAAGGACCCAGATAATTTGATAATTGATTCATATTCACATGGTATTTTCTGTTATCTGTGAACCAGTGAATCCTGGGGCAAGAATGGTTACAAGGTCAGAGGTAATCTAATCAAGGAGTCCACAGTGCCAACAACCTCCACCTCATGTGTGAACGGCCTGCTGTCTCTAAGTCATTGTTTGCCCACATTAAATACTGTTTATCAACCACATACTCATTACAGGCCCTCGCTCTTCCTTTGACCGCCCTTATATCTGGCTAGATGACCGGCATTAAGGTCCATCTACCTAGACAAACAAAGACTCAGGAAGCCTGGTGGGGATTGATCTCGGTGATCTCCTTGACCACAGCAAAACAGAGGCGGGGGTTGTCCTAAACAAACTCATCAGGCATGTGAGGAAACTAGTTGTGGGACTTGAACCTGGGTGGCACCTGTGACAGTGCTGGGAGTTGGGGATGATTAGGGCCAGGAACTCATCGGGACATTTGTATAATTTTAATGCTAAAATGCATCCATGAGTCACACATCACATACATGCGAACAGGAACTTTTCATGTGCAAGATATTCATTCAGACTACAATCCTTCAGTTGTAACTGCGTTCATGGGGTAGTGGACGGAGCATTTGCATCGAGAAAGAAAGGTTTGGTAGTTCGAGACATCTTAAGACTTGCTGTTTCCCTGCCTGATGTTCACCAAGGGGTTAAACAAGGCCTGGCTGGCTCAGCATCAGTGAGGTATTCATATTCACCTATGGATGGCATGGTATATCACGGATACACTATAAAACTATGCAACCAATATGAGTTCTGGCACACACATGTACGTCACTACACAAGGGCAGCTGATAATAACATCAAACACTGAACAGAGTTTCTGAGTAAGGGGGAATCAGTCAGCTTATCACCACATACCATGAACCTATTGTGAGTGAGTGAGATGTAGTGTGTGAGTGAGATAGAGTGAGATAGAGTGAGTGAGACAGAGTGAGTGAGACAGAGTGAGTGAGTGAGTGAGTGAGTGAGTGAGTGAGCAGTGGGTGGCACCAGATTTTTTTCCTTTTTCAAGCAATGTATAAAAGCAATGTATAAAAGCAATTTGTACTTGTACAAAGGATGGGGACTACCCTTGGCCCTTTTATCTGCAAGAAGGTATCAGTACTTCATTAGTTAACCACTGCAGACAGAACACTGAAAGAGGGTAATGGTCTAAACAGCACCTCTGTGTTGGCTGTTGATCAAGTGTTGATGGCACAAACACACTGTTCAATCACCAGAGCTTGTACTGATTTCCCTCCAACACAGACCCAGCGACTCACCATGTAATGTGATGGCCCTCTAGACAGTGATGGATGGCTGGGCTGCATGGACCAGTGTTATACAACCACACAGCCTGAGTATCCACACTTGGCATTCTATGGAAGCAGGCAATCTGGTATTTCATGACAACATACCTTTCTCCTTAATGGTACAGGCGAGCTGTTATTGCCATACATTTTACAGTATCAACTGTAGACTAATTGGATCAAAGATGCTGAGTGAGTGAGTGAGTGAGTGAGTGAGTGAGTGAGTGAGTGAGTGAGTGAGTGAGTGAGTGAGTGAGTGAGCAAGTGAGTGAGCAAGTGAGTGAGTGAGAAAGGATTATATGATCTTGTGTTTCAACAGTGAGTGAGTGAGAAGGGTCTAGTGCTGTGGTAGAAATGTGAGAGCTGTCACTATGGTCACAGAGAGAGAATGTTGGGTATAACAATGCTAATAAAAGTACTTCAGTTGCATATA